GTATTAAATACATGATTTTTATCAATATAGAGTGGTGATAAATTATAAGTTTGTCTTTAGGTACACATGTACAATGCCATATGACAGACAACACAAAACAAATTTTAAATTACAAGACAGCATTTTATGTATGTTACACCAAAATTTATATAAACCAGATTAAATATCAGTCCATACAGCTTCTTACTCCACACTGACTATTCATGTAGCATTATATTAACCTTTCAACTGTCCGAGCGTAGATCTACGTTTACTCACATAGCACTCTGAAGGTAGATATATGTTTTATCTTACATTTGAAAGCATGTAAAGTGAAAGGAAAAGTGCAACTAATGTGACGTTTTATTGTGACAACGTTTTGCTCTCCGGGAGCTTTGTCAAGCCGTTACAAACAATTCATGGACACAGAGGGTATATATATATATATAGGCTTAGAGTGAGGTGAGGGTGGTGGTGGTGGTGGTAGTAGTAGTAGTAGTAGTAGTAGTAGTAGTAGTAGTAGTAGTAGTAGTAGTAGTAGTAGTAGTAGTAGTAGTAGTAGTAGTAGTAGTAGTAGTAGTAGTAGTAGTAGTAGTAGTAGTAGTAAGTAGTAGTAGTAGTATAGTGTAGTAGTAGTAGTAGTAGTAGTAGTAGTAGTAGTAAGTAGTAGTAGTAGTAGTAGTAGTAGTAGTTAGTAGTAGTAGTAGTTAGTAGTAGTGTAGTAGTAGTAGTAGTAGTAGTAGTAGTATTGTAGTAGTAGTGTAGTAGTAGTAGTAGTAGTAGTAGTAGTAGTAGTAGTAGTAGTAGTAGTAGTAGTAGTGTAGTAGTAGTAGTAGTAGTAGTAGTAGTAGTAGTAGTAGTAGTAGTAGTAGTAGTAGTAGTAGTAGTAGTAGTAGTAGTATAAGGTAGATCAATTAACTTGCACATGAGTAAAAGGATATTAAAGCTATTACTTGGGTAGCATAAAAATAGGTTAGACAAATATTTCAATGCTACCTAAGTAATAGCTTTTATATCCTTTTATCCTTGTGCAAGTTAATTGTTCTACCATATTGTATTTCTACTACAACAAAAACTTATATCACTACTACTACTACCACTAGTATCACACCTCACTAAGCCTAAATATACCCTCTGTGTCCATGTATTGTTTGTAACGGCTTGACAAAGCTCCTGGAGAGCAAAATGTTGCCACAATAAAGCATCACATTAGTTGCACTTGTGTCCTTTTACTTCACATATTGTCAGTAATTCTACCAACATTTATACAATTTGAAAGCATGTAAAATAAAACTAAGATCTATATTTGGAGAGCTAACAGTGCAAATGTAGATCTACATTTGGACAGTTTAAGGGTTAAAATACAAAAAACTTTTCCACTTAATGCATGTTCATTAAGTACTGCTTTGTGGCATTACTGGTCTTGATGCAATTAGATAACCCATTTCAGTATTTTATATTCATATATGACTCACGAAATCGTAATGACACGATCGCAAACAAACCATACCACAGGGTATTGTGGCTAGCTGGTCCAGTGGCTAACGCGACGGTCTGGAGTTTTGAGACTCTCTGACCGAGGGATCAAACCCCACCTGTGGTATGGTTTATATTCATATATGATGGATACTGAAAATTTAGGTTCCCTTCCTCATGTGACATACTGATTTTGGTTACTAACTCTTTCAAAATTTTAGGCAAGAGAGAGTCTGGGCAATTTAAAAGCAATTTTGTAGACAGTTTTGCTTTAACTGTTTCACTGTGTCTGCCCCACACATTGTATCCCTCGAGTACTCTCAGATGTCTCATCCTCCAGTAACTATTTATTTTGATTAGTGTTAATAGCCTTAAAACATCATTATAGTACAGTGGACCCCCGCATACCGTTGGCATCACATAACGTTAAATCCACATACCAATACATTTTATCGCTGAGATTTTGCCTCGCATACCGCTAAAAAACCCGCTCAACACTATTTGTCCGAGACGCGTCTAATGTGCGGCCTGAGCCAGCCTCACATGTTCCGCCGGTGGCACTGTTTACCAGCCAGCCTCCGCTGTAACATCCAAGCATACAATCGGAACATTTCGTATTATTACAGTGTTTTTGGTGATTTTATCTGCAAAATAAGTGACCATGGGCCCCAAGAAAGCCTCTAGTGCCAACCCTGTGGTAAAAAGGGTGAGAAATATTATCGAAATACTGTGGTACCCTGGTCAACTGCTGATGCTGCTGCTGCTGTAGCACCGTCAGCTGCTGCTGCTGCTGTAGCACCGTCAGCTGCTGCTGCTGCTGCTGTAGTACCATCTGCTGCTGCTGTAGTACCATCTGCTGCTGCTATAGCACTGTCTGCTGCTGCTGTAGCACTGTCAGCTGCTGCTGCTGCTGCTGCACTGTCAGCTGCTGCTGCTGCTGTAGCACTGTCAGCTGATGCTGTAGCACCGTCTGCTGCTGCTGCTGTACCACCGTCAGCTGCTGCTGCTGCTGTACCACCGTCAGCTGCTGCTGTAGCACCGTCTGCTGCTGCTGTAGCACCGTCAGCTGCTGCTGTAGCACCGTCAGCTGCTGCTGTAGCACTGTCAGCTGCTGCTGCTGTAGCACTGTCAGCTGCTGCTGCTGTAGCACTGTCAGCTGCTGCTGCTGTAGCACTGTCAGCTGCTGCTGCTGCTGTAGCACTGTCAGCTGCTGCTGCTGCTGTAGCACCATCAGATGCTGCTGCTGCTGCTGTACCACCGTCAGCTGCTGCTGCTGCTGTATTACCATCTGCTGCTGCTGTAGCACCGTCTGCTGCTGCTGTAGCACTGTCAGCTGCTGCTGTAGCACTGTCAGCTGCTGCTGTAGCACTGTCAGCTGCTGCTGCTGCTGCTGCTGTAGCACTGTCAGCTGCTGCTGACAGTGCCCGGTGGCCTGGTGGCTAAAGCTCTCGCTTCACACACGGAGGGCCCGGGTTCGATTCCCGGCGGGTGGAAACATTTCGACACGTTTCCTTACACCTGTTGTCCTGTTCACCTAGCAGCAAATAGGTACCTGGGTGTTAGTCGACTGGTGTGGGTCGCATCCTGGGGGACAAGATTAAGGACTCCAATGGAAATAAGTTAGACAGTCCTCGATGACGCACTGACTTTCTTGGGTTATCCTGGGTGGCTAACCCTCCGGGGTTAAAAATCCGAACGAAATCTTATCTTATCTTTTCTTAACAATTAACCCCAGAGGGTTAGTCACCCAGGATAACCCAAAAAAGTCAGTGTCATCAAAGACTGTAACTTATTTCCATTGGGGTCCTTAATCTTGTCACCCAGGATGCAACCCACACCAGTCGACTAACACCCAAGTGAATAGGGAAAAATGCCTGGAACTAGTGCTCATATTGGTGAATATAAAGCCAGCAAAGGTTGGTTTGAGAGATTTAAGAATCGTAGTGGCATACACAGTGTGATAAGGCCTATTCTGGAAGAAAATGCCAAACAGGACCTACAGTACTCAGGAGGAAAAGGCACTCCCAGGACACAGTGTCTCATCAGTCATTGCTGCATCTTCAATAAAGGTAAGTGTCATTTATTCTTCATTTAGTAGAGTAGTACATGCACAATATATATTGTGCATGTACTACTCTACTATTGTGCATGTATCCTTCTCTTTGTGTGTAGGAAAATGTATATTTCATGTGGTAAAAATTTTTTTTTTCATACTTTTAGGTGTCTTGCACAGATTAATTTGATTTCCATTATTTCTTATGGGGAAAATTCATTCACATAACGATAATTTCACATAACAATGAGCTCTCAGGAACGGATTAATATCGTTATGCGGGGGTCCAATGTATATACATCAGACACCACAATACTCAAAGCTTTAAATCATCCTTTTCTCATACTCACACTTGCCTTCACATATTTAAAATAATTAACAGTTCAATATACAGTGGACCCCCGACATTCGAAGGCATCGACATTCGATAAATCCGACATTTGATGCATTTTAACGCAAAAATTTCGCCTCGACATTCGATGGAAACCCGACATTCGATACAGTTCGTACGAGACGTGTCCACGTGTGGCCTGAACTGCTCCGTGTGTTGCCAGTGTTTACAAGCCAGCCAGTGTGCGCGCATCTAAGGATACATTCAGTACATTCCATATTATCACTGTTTTTGGTGCTTGTTTCTGCAAAATAAGTAACCATGGGCCTCAAGAAAGCTTCTAGTGCCAACCCTTCAAGAAAAAAGGTGCTAATGACTATTGAAATGAAAGAGATAATTGCAAAGTACGAAAGTGGAGTGCATGTGTCAGAGTGCATGTTGATTTGGCAAAGAAATTGCCTGCAACTAGTGGTGATGTGAGTGAAGTTAAGGCCAGCAAAGGTTGGTTTGAAAGATTTAAGAATCATAGTGGCATACACAGTGTGGTAAGGCATGGTGAGGCTGCCAGTTCAAGTCCTAATGGAAGGGGATTCCCCTTCTTAACACTAACACCATCCACACTCTCCCCTCCTCCTATCCCATCAATCATCACCAGATCTTCATTAAAGGTAAGTGTCAATTATTCTATTGCTATTAATCAATTGTTATTGTTGTTATTGTAATTATTCTATTGCATTAAACTTAATATTTCATGTGGTAAAATTTTTTTTTTCATACTTTTGGGTGTCTTGCACGGATTAATTTGATTTCCATTATTTCTTATGGGGAAAATTAATTCGACTTTTGATATTTTCGACATTTGATAGCTCTCAGGAACGGATTAGTATCGAATGTCGAGGGTCCACTGTATATGTAACTGCAGAAATACCAGTGATCTCAGACATTAATCAGAAGCCACTATTGTATATCTACCGGTGAAGAGTTTTCCACATATACAATAAGTAAAACTATCAGCAAGCACTATCCTGAACTTAAATTACGTTGTATAACATGTAGTTACATTTTAATAAGTCACCCAACCTATCACCAGTAAAATTCTCTGATGTAAGCTAGTATTTGAAAAGTCAAGTGGTTTTGCCAAACATCAATAGCAGAACTTACCTATCCATGTATCTAATACGTCCAGCCTGGCGCTGATTGATTAGGCCATTGGAAGCCACTAGTGCATCTGCGAGTGAAGTCTTCCCATGATCAACATGTGCCATTATGCATAAATTACGAATATTTTGTGGGTTGCTCAAAAGAGCAGGCAACTTGTTGGGTGCGTCACCCCCACCAACCACCATTGTGTCTGAAATGAAGAGAAATGCTTCAAGCTAAAACCAGCTGCACTAATTCAACAGTGATATAACAAATAATTCCAATTTATTGAGGTTTTTACCTGTTATTATAGTAAATTAATCCTAATAACCCTGTTGTCAGTCACATTTTAAGTCTTTCTGAGCTCATACCAAGCATTACTGAGCACACATGTTCACATACATATTACTCTTATACTCGAGTACACGTTCATAGCAACATACCAGACGGTACTTATTAAGATCTACCTTCACACCCGTGGTGGCTTAATTATAGTTGCCTACGAGCCTAGGTGACCTATGGTACATAGCTATCTGCTGTACATGAATGGTAAACAGTACCGACAAGATGAAAATTTGACGCATGTGCAACATCTGGGTATCTTTATTGTAGATGTTTTGCCAACCAGTGGCATCATCCTGGAATTTGTATTGATACAGCCACTGGTTGGCCAAACATCTACAATACAGATACCCAGATGTCTCATTTTCATGGCTATTTGTAAATGAGTGATAAATGGACCTATCAATCTGCTCACCTAGTCATTCTAAGGACCTAATCATCCCCTTGGCTCAGAGCTCACATATGAAGGGCTTGGAATTGATCCCAGCACAAGTGGAAACACTGGGCACATTTCCCTACACCTGTGTTCACCTAGCAATATTATTATTTTCATCAAAATTAAGTGCTAAACCCACAAGGGTCTCACTTAAGCAGTAATAATAATAATAATCACTAATAATAATAATAATAATAATAATAATAATAATAATAATAATAATAATACAAACAAAATTTTTTATTTCTTTGCAAGATTACACTGAAATTCTGAAATTACAATAATAAGTTGCAGTGCAAAGAGAGCCACTATCATGCCTTGGCATTATGGAAAGACTTAATTTAATGGCTTACACACTACTTAATACTAAAGAAACTGATCATAGTTTAAGTTGTACATCTGTTTTTATTTATAGTAGACAGCAAATTTACTCAAATTACAATAGTTTCAATAATAAATATTGAAATTATATTATGGAAATATAACACTGAGTTGTTGAAAGTAGTTTACAATATAAGAATGTTACAATTGGGTGTAAGGCAGTATTGCTTTGGGTAGGAATTTATACTACAATGTAGGATTAATAATGTATGAACTTTGGGTGTCTAGATTTGAATTTTTAAGATTTAGATAACTGGGAGATTTTTTGGTGAAGTTAAATATTGAGTATTTAGTTTAGAGTGAGTAGGTGGTTTTTGAGAAGTTTTTTTTAATTGGTGTTCAGACCTGGTTACTTTAGTATTTACTGGTAATGAATTCCAAATTTTGGGGTCCTTTATGTTTACCTGGAGTTTACCTGGAGAGAGTTCCGAGGGTCAACGCCCCCACAGCCCGGTCTGTGACCAGGCCTCCTGGTGGATCAGAGCCTGATCAACCAGACTGTTACTGCTGGCTGCACGCAATCCAATGTACGAGCCACAGCCCGGCTGGTCAGATACCAACTTTAGGTGCTTGTCCAGTGCCAGCTTGAAGACAGCCAGGGGTCTATTGGTAATCCCTCTGATGTATGCTGGGAAGCAGTTGAACAGTCTCGGGCCCCTGACACTTATTGTATTGTCTCTTAACATGCTAGTGACACCCCTGCTTTTCATTGGGGGATGTTGCATCGTCTGCCAAGTCTTTTGCTTTCGTCGAGTGATTTTCGTGTGCAAGTTCAGTACTAGTCCCTCTAGGATTTTCCAGGTGTATATAATCATGTCTCTCTCCCGCCTGCGTTCCAGGGAGTACAGGTTCAGGAACTTCAAGCGATCGCAGTAATTGAGGTGTTTTATCTCTTATGCGCGCCGTGAAGGTTCTCTGTACATTTTCTAGGTCAGCAATTTCACCTGCCTTGAAAGGTGCTGTTAGTGTGCAGCAATATTCCAGCCTAGATAGAACAAGCGACCTGAAGAGTGTCATCATGGGCTTGGTATCCCTAGTTTTGAAGGTTCTCATTATCCATCCTGTCATTTTTCTAGCAGATGCGATTGATACAGTGTTATGGTCGAGATCCTCCGACATGATCACTCCCAGGTCTTTGACGTTGGTTTTTCGCTCTATTTTGTGGCCAGAATTTGTTTTGTACTCTGATGAAGTTTTAATTTCCTCATGTTTACCATATCGGAGTAATTGAAATTTCTCATCGTTGAACTTCATATTGTTTTCTGCAGCCCACTGAAAGATTTGGTTGATGTCTGCCTGAAGCCTTGCAGTGTCTGCAATGGAAGACACTCGTGCAGATTCGAGTGTCATCTGCATAAAGTTTTTACACAGTGAGATATGGACATGGGGTACACCAAAGAGAGATCTGTGTCTTGTACTATGGTCGTGTGTCCTGTTCAGGTGAAGAAGAAGAAGAAGAAGAAGAAGAAGAAGAAGAAGAAGATGAAGATGAAGAAGAAGATGAAGAAGAAGAAAAGAAGAAGAAAAGAAGAAGAAGAAGAAAAAGAAGAAGAAGAAGAAGAAGAAAAGTAGAAGAAAAGAAGAAGAAGAAAAGAAGAAGAAAAGAAGAAGAAAAGAAGAAGAAAAGAAGAAGAAGAAGAAAAGAAGAAGAAGAAGAAAAGAAGAAGAAGAAAAGAAGAAGAAGAAGAAAAGAAGAAGAAGAAGAAAAGAAGAAGAAGAAAAGAAGAAGAAATTATTATTATTATTATAATAATAATAATAATTTCTACAAGTACATGTACAAAGTATACAAGCCTAGCTGACACCAATGACATACTACTATATAGAAAGCCGCTTGTTATGCAGAGCATTTCAGGCAAATTAGGTCAACTTTGTTCCCAGGGTGCGACCAACACCAGTCTACTAATACCCAGGTACCTATTGTACTGATGGATGAACATGGGCAGCTGGTGTCTTAAGAACACGAGAACATAAAAACGGAGGAACACTGCAAAAGGCCTACTGGCCCATACAAGGCAGGTCCTTATAAAAAACCACCATTTCCACCTGTACTGGGGATCGACTCCCCAAACCTCAGTGCGTAAGTTAAGTGTGCTAACGATCGAGCTACAGGACACAGTATTACATTTAGGAGGGAAGTGCTAAACCCGGAGGGGTTACACAGCACCTGGGAGATGGAAAGCATTCAGGTTTGATCCAAGGAAGAGGAGAGCAGGTTCAATGTCTTGGATCAAGAGTCCTTCACCTCAATTTCTTGGATCAAGAGCCCCTCACCAGATTCAGGGAACCTCCTAGAGAAGTCACCTAGCAGTAAGTAGGTACCTGGCTGTTAGTCAACTACTATGAGTCAGATCCTGGGAAAGAAGACTCAGGGTTTAAATAACAATATATTACAAGAACTACAATGGAAATAAGTCACTAACTTTTTTGGGGTTATCCTAGGTAATTTATTAAGTTTATTTAGGTACAGGTACATATAAATAGTTACACAAATTATCCTACATATAAACATATGTGTAAATTACCTAGATTATTATTATAATCAAGGGGAAGCGCTAAACCCGGAGGATTATACAGCGCCCAGGGGGGGGGGGATGTGGAAGGCATTCAGGCTTAATTCGGGGAACTGGAGCACAGATCCAATTCCCTAAATCAAGAGCCCCTCACCAACATCAAGGAACCTTCCTTGAGGGGTAAATTACCTAGAATAATCCAGAAAAGTCATAATGACTTATTTCTATTATGGTCATTTAAAGATAAAAGATATATAATTGTATTTGTGTACCTGTACCTAAATAAATTTACTTACTTAAGGCCAGATAATAGTCTTATTGGGCGAGTCTAGGTTAATAACACTCCGGGTTAATAATTGCAGTAAACTCTACGAGGTAGTCACCAGTGGTTAGTCTTGTTTACACCTGTGAAAGTTGTTTAAAAATACCCTTAACTTTTAATCACGAGTTTTGTGGTTGAAATAAAATTTAATAATATCATACCCGTAATTATGTAAGAGACCAAAAATTATCTTTGCTTTGGAAGCAACTAGAATGCAACAGCAGGAGCAGCAACAGCAGCAGAGCAGCAACTGCAGCAGTGTGAGCCACGAGTGATGCAACCAGTTACTGTTGTTGTTGTTGTTGTTGTTCTGCTTGTTGGGGGTAAAGGTTACCACCAACCTGGCAGACTTCTCAATCATATAACTGAGTGTTTCAGACGTAGAGTTAAATAAGTTATTTTAGGTACTCGTACACATAAGTACACACCAATGGAAATAAGTTAAGGACCCCAATGGAAATAAGTCACTTTGACTTTTTTGGGTTATCCTATGTAATCTACACATATGCTGCTATGTATGATTATTTATGTAACTATATTTATATGCACCTGTACCTGAATAAAATCTTACTTCATTGTGCACTCCATGCTCATCCTGTGAGTGCTGCCCCCCCCTCCCCCAAAAAAAGTACAAAGGTCACAATAGGTCTTTGTCAGACTTAACTAAGCATTGAAAGAAATATTAGTCATTTCATATTTTACAGTTACTTCATACCCTTCAAACTGAACTGTTTGCTATTCTCCTCGCACTCAATTGTGTCCATGTATCCTGTACCTAAGATTGATACCTTACTTGTAACTCATTCATTATCATACATAAATACTCTCAACTCCTTAAGTATCAGTTGTGTCATGCTTGTGTCAGAGGTCGGACACAGATATGGTAGGATTGAAGACAATGAGTCAGTGTGCACCTTCTGTTGATTCCATCTCACACTGGTCTTCAGATACATGATAGAACTGGTGAATTGGCAAAGTCATAAACCTTCCAGGAGGAAGTAGATTACAATCTTGGAGAGTCAGTTACCAGTATGAGAACAATATTAAAAGAACTTCAACCGAAATTCATTGATTTGAGACTGAGGACATGTCTATGGTGCCTTCAACAAAATAAGCAGAGTCTTGGATGTCACTACTGCCAGGCTGCAGCTGGGTTACAAGTACCTCTGGGAGACTAATGACCACCACCATATTAGGTAGACATAATTATACGTAAATTGCAAGATGAACAATTGTCACACCTTGCGTCATTATGTGCTGAAACTACACAAAGTTAGTTTAACATCTTTTTACGCTCCCCATACCCATCCTGCGGGCGGTAGTCAAAAAGATTACAGCATACATAAGGGGGATTACCAGTAGACCCCTGGCTGTCTTCAAGAAGGTACTGGACAGGCACCTAAAGTCAGTACCTGATCAACCTGGCTGTGGTTCGTACGTCAGCTTGCGTGCGGCCAGCAGTAACAGCCTGGTTGATCAGACCCTGATCCACCATGAGGCCTGGTCTCAGACCGGGCCGCGGGGGCGTTGACCCCCGAAACCCTCTCCAGGTACACAATGGGTCCGGGAACTGGGCCCCCAAAGTTTTGATAGCTGAACAAGTTACAAAGGTAATGAAACATTTACACGTCTACACCTAATAACAATTGCAATGAGTTATTATTGCAAATATTAGCTTTATTTACAGTGAGCAAAGTCAGGGTATTTTTCCAGAATGGTTTGTAATATACCATTGTGGATAAAATACATTGACATTTCTTGAACATTTCTAAGTGAGTTGTCTCTGAATTAATTACTCGGATCGCTTTCCAGTACATAATGACGCAAAGTGTGACAATTGTCCATCTGGCAAAGTTTACATTTAGTTTGGTCTACATCTGGTGGTGGTGATTTACCTTCCCAAAGATACTTGTAACCTAGCCGGAGCCGGACAGTAGTTACATCCAAGAATCTGGTTATATTGTTGGATGTACAATAGACATGTGGCTCCTCCTACATGATGGAATGATAGATGGACTGACTGGTGTCAACCTCCCTGAGTTTTAAAGTTCAGTTGAAGTTCTTTCCGTATTATTGTTCTCAAACCGCTGACCGGCAAGCCAAGAATGCAATTTACTCCCTCTCTGAAGGCATACAACTTAGCCAATTCATCAGTTCTATTACGCATCTGAAGACCAATGTGAGATGGAATCCATAGAGGGTGCACTCTCCCTCCACTGATACAGTTAAAAACACACTGCCTATTAGATTCTGCCACCGAAGTGGCTAGTTTATTGTGCGCCCCATATCCATCCTGTGGACGGTAGCGCAAGAGCATATGGATACACAAAAGGCCCAGGAACTAGGATCCAAAAGGGTTAACAGGTGTACATATGGATTTATATCTACATATCTACAGTTCACTTATCTGTTACAAGCAAATTTAGGAAACTTGCTTAGTATATCTGGTATCTTATTTTCATTAATATATCTTGACATGTCACATAGGTTATTATATTGTCTATCTCTATATTCCTCAATAAGTGGACAATTAAGCACATAGTGTTCAAGACAGTGACCATATGCCTGACCACATAATTTGCATTTAGTTTGATCTGGTGGCCTGGTGGCTAACGCTCTCGCTTCACACGGCGAGGGTCTGGGTTCGATTCCCAGCCAGACAGCCAGAGTAGAAACATTGGACGTGTTTCTTTCCACCTGTTGTCTATGTTCCCCATCAGTAAAATGGGTACCTGGGTGTCAGTCGACTGGTGTGGGTCGCATCCTGGGACACTGACCTAATTTGCCCGAAATGCAGAGCATAACAAGAGAGTTTCTATGTAGTAGTATGTCATCGTTGTCAGCTAGGACTGTATACCTTGTACATGTACTTGTAGTAAATAAAGATATTATTATTATTATTATTATCATCATCTGTGTGTCTCCCAAACTGCCAGAAGTACTTGTAACCAAGCCTAAGCCTGGCCACTACAACATCAGTCAGTCTGTTCACATTGCAAGTTGCTCCATAAACATATTTATCTACGTTCATGTTATCATCGTGGGTTATAGATCTACTCAGACTTCTAACTGCATTTCTGTAACAATCATTTTCATTATTTACTTCTCTCCTAATATTATTCCTAATACTAGACACAGATATACCAAAGTTATATTCTACATTCTCCTTCTGGGTACTCTTGGCTAACATATCAACTCTATCATGAAGGAGTAATCCAGTGTGTGATGGGATCCATTGCAATTGTACAATAATTTCTTTGTCCCTGATTTTTGAGTATCTATACCTGGCTTCTCCAATGAGCATGTTGTTAAGAGCATTCAGTGCTGGCATAGAATCAGTAATGATGATAGAGTCAAGCTCAGTGTCATAAGTTAGCTTTAGCGCCATTAGGATTGCACACAATTCAGTTTGCAATGTAGACGCCCAGTTGTTAATTCTTATGCCTAGTTTAACAAGTTTATTATCGCTCCAAACTAGGGAGGAGTTTACCTGGAATTTACCTGGAGAGAGTTCCGGGGGTCAACGCCCCCGCGGCCCGGTCTGTGACCAGGCCTCCTGGTGGATCAAAGCCTGATCAACCAGGCTGTTACTGTTGGCTGCACGCAAACCAACGTACGAGCCACAGCCCGGCTGGTCAGGAACCGACTTTAGGTGCTTGTCCAGTGCCAGCTTGAAGACTGCCAGGGGTCTGTTGGTAATCCTCCTTATGTATGCTGGGAGGCAGTTGAACAGTCTCGGGCCCCTGACACTTATTGTATGGTATCTTAACGTGCTAGTGACACCCCTGCTTTTCATTGGGGGGATGTTGCATCGTCTGCCAAGTCTTTTGCTTTCGTAGTGAGTGATTTTCGTGTGCAAGTTAGGTACTAGTCCCTCTAGGATTTTCTAGGTGTATATAATCACGTATCTCTCCCGCCTGCATTCCAGGGAGTACAGGTTCAGGAACTTAAAGCACTCCCATTAATTGAGGTGTTTTATCTCCGTTATGTGTGCCGTGAAGGTTCTCTGTACATTTTCTAGATCAGCAATTTCACCTGCCTTGAAAGGTGCTGTTAGTGTGCAGCAATATTCCAGCCTAGATAGAACAAGCGACCTGAAGAGTGTCATCATGGGCTTGGCATCCCTAGTTTTGAAGGTTCTCATTATCCATCCTGTCATTTTTCTAGCAGATGCGATTGATGCAATGTTATGGTCCTTGAAGGTGAGATCCTCCGACATGATCACTCCCAGGTCTTTGACGTTGGTTTTTCGCTCTATTTTGTGGCCAGAATTTGTTTTGCACTCTGATGAAGTTTTAATTTCCTCATGTTTACCATATCGGAGTAATTGAAATTTCTCATCGTTGAAAAATTTCAATTACTTCGATATAGTAAACATGAGGTGGCAGCAAGAGCAGATGCAGCCCTGCCAGAAGACTCCTGTTTAGATCCATCAGTGTATATAACTTGTGATAACTTATTATTACCAGCTAGGCGAGAAATTTCTTCTTCAGCAGTTGCTTTAACGAGTGATTTAAGGAAGGGATTACTAGCAATGAGCTTCTTGGGAGGGACTTGCAGGTATGTGATATTAAATGAACACATCTTCCATGGAAGGGTGAAATGCTCTTGCTGTCTACAGTGATACAGTTCATGCAGGTTATAAAACATAACGCAATTGCACGTTTTCACAATCCATTTAGATCTGTGTGTATTTACTTCGAGAAACTTAGTAAGAATGATTTTGACAGTGCCTGGTTCATTTCTTAACATTCTAATACCGAGTACAGTGTTAATCTCAACAATCCTATCACTGATACTAGAAATACCAAACTCCTTCCTCATATTAAGATCCTTTGTAGTTTTGGGACAGCCAAGAATAATTCTGAGAGCTTCATTTTGCATTAACTCCAAGGGTCGGAGAGAAATTTCTCTAGCTAATATCAACATGGGAGCAGCATAATCAATTAAGGACCTAACATAGGCTATGTACATCATTATCACGATTCTCAAATTAGCACTATAGTTGAGGTTGTAGTCACCAACAGCTTTGGAGCATTTAGCCTATCTTTGCATTTCATATTTAGTTGTGGTATAGTGGATTTGTTAAAGGGTACATCTACACCAAGATATCTGTAAGTTTCAACGTAGCTAATGTTTTCACCCTGCAAATAGATGGGTGGGGGATGTCGTTTGCTTGTTAATATCTTTGGTTTAGAGGAAGATATTATGAGGCCTAGTCGATTACAAATTGCTTGAACTTAATTAAGAATGGTACTCATCTTCTTATGTCCTGTTGTGTGGATCATGACGT